TGGATCCAACTGCATCTTGTCAGTCTTCTAATGCCCCTTTTGCACTGCCACTAGTAAGCCCCAATTCTGGGCAGCCCACCACAGAAAGAACCCTTTTGCACCAGCCCTTTAGCTAGTATATTTAGCTGATTTGAAGCTGATTCAGGACCTCTTTTCGTCCCTGCTTCTCTGGTGGGACCAAACGAGTTCAGTTGAGCTGACTCCGGACCGAAACGTGAATGCAGGACTCTGATTGGTCAGGGGGTGGAGTCACTGGATCTCAGAAACTTTTGACTGGTTTGCCATTTGCAATTTCTCTGGATGTGGAACAGCAGCTGGATCTATTTTTAAGATTTTAAAAACAATAATGACAACGCCGTGTTTAATGCTGAAGTCCAGGCATTTTTTGTGTTTGGTGACTGACGACAAAAATTTGAGCGAGTGGTGTCACCGCGGAGGATCATACGAGCTGCCGAGCCGTTGAAGCCCAAGAGGCCGGACCCCGAGCCCTGGCCTCACCTGATCACAAAGGCTGGATTCGAGCCCTGGCAGGCGGGAGGACCGGGATGGAGGTGTAGTAATGTAGGGACAGCTTTGCTGTAACATACTACTAATTAATTATTCTTCAAGCTAGTTCAAGCACAAAGAATATTAATTGTTTAATTACAACGGATTCTTTCTTTTTCGAGTTAAATTTCTTCCATGTGACTAAGATAACTTGTGGAGTGGAGTGGTAATTAGTGACATGAGACGCCATTCTATCTTTGACCCATCAGAATAAATGCAGTCATTTATTTAACAGAATCAAAATTTAACATCAAACATGTACACATTGATTTGCTGATCTGTTTCTGATTAATAAACTTGGCACGATTTACTAAACAAGACAACAGAAGATTACTGATTGAGACTGATTCATCTCTGAAGGCATCTAGCTTGATTTACTGGTGAATAGAAGTTTAAAGAGAAGGAATGGATTTAAAGAGGAGGTTTAGATGGATGAAAGTTATGTGTTGAACCAGAACATGGCACCCTTCCTCCGAATCCAGCTCAGCTCTCCGGTACACTTCAGGGCGTGCAACGACTTTGTTACCTTAGCAAAGGATACATCAACTCCGGAACAGAGGTCCATTGGCACGCTCCCTTTTCAGCGTCTCCGGTCAGAGTGGCTGGGGTCATCAGAAGTCGTGACGAAGTACTCAGTTCAACAGAATAAGCTTCCTTAGAAGTTGAGCATTTAATGCTCGGGTTGAGTCACAGCCGAGGCAGGCTGTGACTACGCTGGAATGGACGGACCCTTGGCACATGGTCAAATCCATCAGCTATTTTGTTCAGCTGGAAGACCTCAATAAGACTGAGTCTTCCATGTAAGGCTGAAAGTTCCAAGAAGACTGGA